GTTTGAAGGCAGCCTGTCATTACTCTTTTCCCTCTCAGCATCCCTTATTCTCAGGCTCTGAGATTCTGGAAGATGTGAAAAAGTTGAAGATGTTCTAGAAGAGAGTCACAACACTAATCAAACAGTTGTCAGACTTAGGAGGAAGGTGAGAGAACTCAGCTTAGATGAGAATGAGGCGAGACCGCTCGCCAGGCTCCTGGTGGTGTTTATATGAAAGACAGTGAGCGGCTGGCTGTTAGCACTGAGGGGAAAGGGAACTGCCGTGGGCTTTGGCAGAAACACCACTGTTGATATTACATTTTTAAAAGACAGTTGTAAAAAAAAAAGTTTGATGTAATAACCTACACAGAATTAGTAAAATGATACTTCTTGTAGGACCTTGGGTCTGTTTGCACATATGTCTGTTGGCTTAGGGGGGAAAAAAAAAGTAGGACTAATAGTTAAAATTATACATAACTAGAGATGCAAAAATTCTGAGTAAAGTAGAAGGCAGATGCTTTTTTTAATTTTTTGAAAAGGAGGTGTTGTCAGAGATTTGTGTAACCCAGAACACCCCCATTTCAAGATTTTCTCCCCACAGGAATAAATCTGAATTTGGAGGAGTGAAGTCTCCTACTACATAAATCGAGAGCAGTTTCAGCAGAGGGGCTTATGGTAGCCACAGTGATCTTATAACTGTCTGCAACAGAATTGCCTCTGGTGTTTTTTTGTTTTGTTTTGTGTTTGGTTTTGTGTGTGTATATATCCTTCCTTGGTTATATAACTTGCTTTTCTATTCCTTTTTTCAAATTTAGAAATGAGCCCACTTTGTTTCTTTCATTTACTCAGCATTGTTTCTAATATTTCCCAGAACGTGCTCCTTTCCACATGACTGACTCCTACATCACGTCAGTTGTTTGTTCTTCTTCCAAGCCATTTAGTTCAATCAACACATTCTGTTCATCGGTAATGGATTTGAGGGTCACCTCAAAATTAACATCGCACTTAATGAGGAGTTGGATGACATAGAGTCGACCGTAAAAAATGATTTAAATGGCAGTATGGCTACTCTTAACACTACTGAACGGTACACCTGGTATGGTGAAAGTGGTATGTTTGTGTGCCTTTTACTGTGAGTAAAAATAAAATAATGTTTTTAAGAAGAGGAAAAACAGATTTAAATGTTAGGGAGAATTAAAATAACCAGGAATAGTCATCACCATCCCCTGTGTGTGGAAACCCTGCTATTTATGGGATATTGATAAAGAATAGAGATTATTAACCACTGAAGTGGTGTTGCCAGATCGCAATCGCGAAGTTCCAGTTTATTCTACTTGCTGGCCCTGCCAGCCATGAAGTTGTGTCATTTTGATAGATTTCTTTTTAATTGGAGAGAATTTCTTTTATGTCCAATTTTGTGCATAGAATGAGACTTCTTTTAGTACTCTTAAATTTGCACAGAATATGACTGAAAACTTTTAAAAGAAGAAAGACCTTGATTATTTCAGTGAGTGCCAGAAAAGTATTTGATAAAATTCAACCTGATTAAAAGGTCCATGAAAACTAGAAATAAAAGATAACTTTACAGAAACCTATAGCAAACATAGTTCTTAGTGATTAAATATTAGCTGCTTTCCCATTAATGTTTAGAGAAGGAAGAAAATGCTCCCCCCTAATACTATAACCACTATCAATCTACTAGAGTTCTTCATAGCCCAAGAAAAAGAAATATGAAGTAAAAAACAGACAAAACTGCTATTATTTTCAGATAGTGTGGGGGTCTGGTTTTTAAATTCTCTAATGGTTGGATTCAAAATGAACATATAAAACTAAATGGCTTTCTCATGCACTAAGAAAAACCAAATAGAAAATGTAATAATAATAATAATAATGATGATGATGATGTTTTATTCAGCACACCAAATTCTCCAAAATTTATACAGAAAAATAAATGAGCAGAAATATTTAAGACTATTGTGTAAAGACCAAGCGATGAGTGTGCAATATGGGGACATATACATATATTTCCATATCTATCTATATCTCATATCTTATAAATAAAGCTATAGTAATTAATAATAATATAGTAATTCATGTGAAGATGCATTAGTCCCCAAACTGACCAGTATGTAAACAGGAATGTAGTGCATGATAAAGGTGACATTCGGAATCAGTGGGAAAAGGACAGACTGGGTGCCACACACTGACCCAGTTCCGGGTTCAAGCAGTGAACAAATGAGACAAAGTTCTGACTCATGTTCCAGTGGGGGGAGAACAAATACATGTCAGAGAGTGGCAGCATTTGAGCAACATGTAAAATAAGGTGAGGCATTGGAGAGTGGCAGCTAAGGTGAGGGTAGCGTCAGACTGCCATTTATATTTGTATATATATGAGTATATGTCAAATAGCACTAAGTGACATTTGGTGTAGATATAAGAAATTGGGGGAAGCAGTCCTAAATCATGGTGTGTGTGTGTGTGGTTTTTTTTTGTGTGTTTTTTTTTTTTTTTTGGGGGGGGGGATTCCAAGGCAAAGGGGGTAGGGTGTATAAAGGCCCTGAGGAGAAAATGTGCTTGGTTTGTTTGAAGAGCATTAATGGCCAAGGCAACATGAATGAGGACAGGGTAGGGGGTGAAGGGGCAGAGATGGATGTTTGGGGTGGGGTACAGTAAAGGAGGTGACCAGGACATTTAGGCTATCCTAGGAATTTTTGCTTTTAACCTAGTAAGATGGGAGTTTTTGATCCAATGTGTGACATCATCTGACAAAATTTGGATATCGATGTAAGACTAGATTTCTGCAGAGACTTAAAGACAGAAGCAGAAAGGCCAGTTAGGAGGCTACTGCGTAATTGTGGTGGTGGTGTGGACAGGGGCAGTCATGGAGGAAGTGGTGAAAGATGTTCACATCCTTAGGAAGGGACATACTCTCAAGGAGAGTCAACAGGATGTGAGACAAAGAGGGGAGTCTGGACTGACTCCATTCACCGAGTCTTCCGGCTTCATAGAAGCAAAGTGCAGGCTGTGGGCTCGAGGGTCCACAGCCAGTATGTAAACTTTCCTGTACTCCCACCTTCAACTCCACCGGGTGTCTCCTAGTCCACAAACCTTCTGGATGCCCTCTGAAGAGACTGAACCCTTACTCAGAAAAATCAGTTATTGTGCATCTTTCATCTTTTCGGCTCCCAATTATTTTTTTTTCCTATTGTCTCCCCTCGGCTTTCTTTGTGTTTGTAGCTTTATGCCATCACCTTTTAACCAAAGCCTCTATTTATCTTTTATTTATAGTTCCCACTTTAGTCCATAAAAATACTTAAGCCTTTATACTTAACCTTTCTCTCTCTTTTGAAAAGGGTCTAAAATATCCAGGACTTCACAGCTTTGCACCAGACAAGCCTGGAGGAATACTAATGATGGATCTAAAAGACGAAAACCCCAGGGCATTGGAATTAAGAATTAGCCGTGGGTTTAATTTGGCTTCATTTAATCCACATGGTATCAGCACTTTCATAGACAGCGGTAAGAGCTGATGAGCTCCCAACATTAAGAAACTTATAATGGTTTGTAAATGACTGTGGAAAATAGATTCGGATCATGTCTGAAGTAAGAGAACAATTAACTCATGAATTATTCCTGAATTCTTCATACAAATAAGTTTTCTTGCCTCTGCCACTAGCTGTTAAGTTATGCCGCGTTCTGAAATTTTTAACAGCGCCTTAAAGAAAGCTTAGATTTCATGACCTTTTTACATACCTATGATCATTGCATTAAAAAATAGCTATATTTATGAATTAAACTATAAACAGATTATTCATGAGTTCTGTGTGTGGAGTGAGAAACACTCTTTCTTAAAGGTCAGGGGACCAATGATCAGAAATAACACCAGACAAGTTGTGATGAGAAAGACAGGGAAGAAGAATGATCTGTTAGGTCATCTAACAGCTTAGACATTTAACCTTTCCTTGCCTGGTATTTAAATGTCAGGGTCTGCCTGAAGGTACTATGGCTGTCTTGTAAATTAACTCTGTTCTTTCAATTTTTTTCAGATGACACAGTTTATCTCTTTGTGGTAAACCACCCAGAATCCAAGAATACGGTGGAAATTTTTAAATTTCAAGAAGAAGATAATTCTCTCTTGCATCTGAAAACAGTCAGGCATGAGCTTCTGCCAAGGTACTTAGTCTTTTTGTTCATTCTCCAAGCTATCTCCAACATTTTCAGATACCCATCATGGTGGTCCTCTCACGTATGCGTGTGTGTGTGTGTGTGTGTGTGTGTGTGTGTGTGTGTGTCTTTGTAGAGTAGGGAAAGTCAATGTCCCTCATGACAGTAATCAGTGTTCAATGTGGACTCTCTTGAGAAATGATGAAATGCGTGGTACAGGGGAGATGCTCTTCAGGGCCATCATGGGAGTATTAGACAAACCTCACCATTTCTCCTGCTTTCACCTTCCATCTCAGATGACTCAGCACCCAATTAACAATACCTGGCCTGTCAAAGAATGGTAGCCTGCTTTATATGGAGTATGCATGTTTTGTATGGGACTAACACAAAGAGCTTTCACAGGGTTAGTGGTAGCTGTGGGCTACAGAACTGGAGATTCGGGTTGGAAGTGGGTTGCTACTACTTCAAGAGCACACAACTGGTTGACAATGGGACTGAGAGAGAATTGTGTTCCTCTCCAGCTCAGTTTGCATTAGCCGACTGCTTCTTTAAAGTTTGAACTTGATGGATATTTTTAATTTCTACTTCCCTAACTAGGGAAGCATGTAACTTCCAATCATTCTTCTGGAATGATTCATAATAAATAGGAACATAAATACCACCCTGGGAGCCTCTGCATGACAGAGCTCTTTCAGAATGAGGGGACCCACCGACCCTGTAGCTCCATTTTTATTTAACAAAGGAGGAAGCAGCTCTTTCAGACAGTTTTGCATCGGGTAATTGGAATTTAAATTTAATAACACTTTTGCCTAACTGGTTTTAAAAATGTAATTGTTTTTAGCATATAAATCTCTCACCTGAAGCATGGTATTATGGCAATTTCATCATCCATCTCTCTGCAAGTGTTTAAGGAGTGCCTGTTCATTCTCGGCTGGTTGGCTCTGTGAATTTGGTAAAAATTGAACAGTCAACCTGAGTTTGACTAATTACTAAGCAGAGAAACTTGGGAAAATCCAGCAACTTAGTAAATGGAAGCAAGGCAAATGTTATTGGCTTCCCAACCAGCTCACCAGCCAAGGAGGCTCCTCATCCAGCTCTATAAAAGATAGCTGGTTCCCTACATTTCTTGCTATCAAAAAACAATACTGTTGCCCAGCGGCATGGCTCGTTGGTGAACCAAGAGGTCAGGGCTCAATTCCTGGTCAGGGCATATGCCCGAGTTGCAGACTCAAACCCCAGTGTGGGGCATGTAGGCGACAGCCGATCAATGATTCTCTCTCATCATTAACATTTCTATCTCTCTCTCTCCCTCTCCCTTCCTCTCTGAAGTCAATAAATATTTTTAAAAAACATACTGTTGGCACCAAGACCTTTTATCTTTTATAATATTCCTGCCTTCATTGCTAAATGACATGTCTTCCAATGACCTGTTACCATACAAAATTGTTCTTTGGCAAATGATTTTATAGTAGATTGTATATGACAATAGCCATGAGATTTTATTTTATTTTATTTTTTAGCCATGTGATTTTAGCTGAGCTTTTCTTGGGAAACTTCTTACCAAAAATTTAAAGCATGTATTGTGTAAACCTTCTGGAGTCCTAATTTTTAAAGTGGAGACCAACTGGCTTTTTATGTCCTCTCACATGTTATTCTTCTCTTTCAGTGTGAATGATATCATAGCTGTTGGACCTGCACATTTCTATGCCACCAATGACCACTATTTCTCTGATCCTTTCTTAAAGTATTTGGAAACATACTTGAACTTACACTGGACAAATGTTGTTTACTATAGTCCAAATGAAGTTAAAGTGGTAGCAGAAGGATTTGACTCACCTAATGGAATCAACATTTCACCTGATAAAAAGTATGATCCCTTATAAAAGTCATTTTATTGCTTCTCAGTCATGGTCATGGGCCAAATTCTTCACTTTGTTTTTTCTGCAGTGTGGAAATAGCTTACTGAAGCTATTTTAAATAAATATTATATGTATTTTATATTATTAACATAACATTATAATCATTACATATTTATTATATAATATGATATTTATATGTATTATGTGATACACAAATATGTATATCTAATATGTTAATTATGAAATTATATGTACTATCCAATATAGTAGAAGGCTAATATGCAAATCAACTGAACAGCATAACCACTGGTCGCTATGAGGCACACTGACCACCAGGGGGCAGACTCTCAATGCAGGAACTGCCCCCTGGTGGTCAGTGTGCTTCCACAGGGGGAGCACCACTCAGCCAGAAGCCCTGAGCAGGGCCACAGCTGACAAGCACAGTGGCTGTGGCAGGAGCCTCTCCTGCTTCCATGGTAGCACTAAGGATATCAGCCAGACATCCCCAAGGGCTTTTGGACTGCGAGAGGGTGCAGGCCGGGCTGAGCCCACTCCCCACCCTGAGTGCACAAATTTCATGCATGGGGCCTCTAGTATTTATATTGTATATGTTTATATACAATATCTAAATTTTGGTATATATCATTATAGAATCTAGTTTTATAAATGTAATTTTTAATAAGATGGGATCATATATATACATATCAAAGTATCAGATAGGTGGTTCCTTTTAAGTGAATATCTCATTGTTATATTGGCTATGTATTACTAAACTAATTTAACCCATTCTCTGTTGATGGATATGTAGGTTGTTAATTTTCTTCTGTATAAATACCATCTTATATTTTTCATTTACCCCTTAAATTTATCCAAATATTTTAAAAGGAAAAATTTCCTAGGGTAGCTGTATAGTATAATGGTTAAATCTTCAGATCTGGGAGTCATACAGACCCTGGTTCAAATACCAGATGGGCAATGGCTAAATGTGGTGCTAACGAGCCCCTCCTCTTACACATTTGCACAGACAGACCCTTCAAATAGACCTGATTGCTCTTAGAGTGAGCCTCTCAAACAACTTTAATAGATACTGTCAACTTGCCTTCCATAAGTATCTTACTATTTTTATATATTCAAACCACAGCTTATAGAAAGGATGATATATTGTTTTTTTTTCTTTTTTTAATATATTTTATTGATTTTCCACAGAGAGGAAGGGACAGGGATAGAGAGCTAGAAATGTCAATAAGAGAGAAACATCGACCAGCTGCCTCCTGCACCCCCCCCCCCCATGGGGATGTGCCTGCAACCAAGGTACATGCCCTTGACCGGAATCAAACCTGGGACCCTTCAGTCCGCAGACCGATGCTCTATCCACTGAGCCAAACCGGTTTCGGTGGATGATATATTAAAAAAAAAATATATATATATATATATATATATATATATATATATATATATATATATATATATATATATTGATTTCAGAGAGGAAGGGAGAGAGAGAGATAGAAGCATCAATGATGAGAGAGAATCATTGGTTGGCTGCCTCTTGCACGCCTCCCACTGGGGATTAAGCCCACAAACCAGGCATGTGCCCTTGACTGGAATCGAACCCAGGGCTCTTCAGTCCACAGGCTGATGCTCTATCCACTGAACCAAACCAGCCATGGCAGGATGATATAGTCTTATAGTCTTTATTAACTTTCCCTTGTACTGCCTTAACCCTCTGAACAATTTAAACTACTACAAATATGAAATAAATTTTGCAGTCCTTGACAACTAAATGTCTTTATTTTCATGACACAATTTCTTCTTTCTTGTTGACTACAGAAAATGAAAGTCTAATCATTTAATTTAAATTGTCTATAACTGACCCAGTGCAACCTGTCCAGCCAAATCTGTTTTTCTTTCCAACTCTCATCTTTCTGAGAGTCAAACCTTGCAATCATTCAAGCTAAAAAATAATAATAAAAGGGGCTTTCGCTTTAACTCCTCCTCTTGCACCATTCCTTGCTAAACAGTGAGCAGGTTGTGTTGGTTCTACCTTTGTGTCTGTCCCCTACTCTCACCCTCTTTCCTTTCCTCTGACATCTTAAGTTTCTCATCCTCTCTGCTGGAGTGTTAGAAATCCTTCCAACTTGTTTCCAGTCTGCTTCCATTCTCTGCCACCATTGCCAATTTTTCTCTCTATATTTCTCTAGCCTTTACGAGCCTCCAAAAGAGGGAGCTCTGTCTGCTTAATCTTTGACTCATGTTCAGCACTGCCAGGTGCAAAGCAAATGCCCAGTAATTGTTGGATGGAAATGACCATTTGTTATCATGCCTCATTGTTATTGTAAAAATTCAGTGGAACCCAATTGCTAAATCAAGGCAGGCTAAAGGATGGAATTTCTTTGATAGGCTAACTCAGGCCTCCCCTTTCGACTGTTCTAGTACAGTCCATGCTTAGACAAAGAACTCATTATTTAGCAAATATGCCTTTCTCATTCTTGCCCCCGTGCCTCTGCTCACATGTTTTCTCCTGTCTTGAAGGTGTTTTATCCTCATAGCCTCAACTCCAGCCTCTAGTTCCATATCCCTGCAGATCCCCCTTCCTTTGTGAGCCCTTCTGTGTTCTCAAGAGTTATGATATTTCTTCAGCCTCTAGACCGGAAGCATTTCTTATAGTAGCCGTCATGCTGCATTATTTGTTTAATGTGTATAAGCCAGTCTGATCGTTCCAATATACTATAAACTTTTCAGGAAAAAGGCTGTCTTTTTTATGTTTCTATCTGTCACAATACTGAGTTCATGGCTTTACACGGGATAACTGCTCAATAGAACAGTTGCCAAGGAACGGTCAATTCAGTGAGTGAAATTACCATAAAGTAGTCCATTAATCCGCCCTTCAGACAGACTGTTCTGAATACATTCTTAGCTTTTACGCTTAAAATTCTCAATATGTAAATAAATATGCTATTAAGTACGCTAATACACATTCTAGTGTTCTGCTCTGTACCATAACATGTAAATGACATCTAGAAGTATCAAATTATATTGTGAATATAAAACCTTTATTTTCTGAGGCCAAACATCTATTTTATTGTCCTTTCAGTGGCAAATATCACAGACTTTATATTCACAATGACATCCTATATTAACTTTTCCTTACAAACCTTTTGAAAAATAATTGAACAATTCTGTGATTGGTGTAGCAACACAGAATTGATCTTGAAAGCTTGCTTTTTAAATAAAAATTGACCTTTATCAAGCATTGCTTGAGGGCCCATCATTGATTAACTTCTTGGCAGGTTATTAAGACTCATTCTTGCATACTGTATTAATGAATCTTTATGTTGTCATGGAGCCTAACCAGCGTGTCCTTTCTGCAAAGGTACATCTATGTAGCTGATATATTGGCTCATGAAATTCATGTTTTGGAAAAACAGCATAATATGAATTTAACACAAGTGAAGGTAAAATATTTCTTTTCATATATATATATATATAAAGTCAACATCAATCTAATATACTTTGAAATTGCATAGTTAAATTATGCTTTTGCAATACCTTCACATAGAACAGACTATGGATGCCAGTGTTGCTATTTTGGGTTTTTAAATATCCCCGTGATATAACCGGCCAAGTCTTCTGTTCCAGCAGTCATGAGAACTGACCGGCATTACATGTGGTGGTGGGCTGGGAGTGATATGTCACCGGATGCATTCCAATAAGAATTTTCTCAATTGAAAAGACTAATAGATGAATTCTGAAATGAAGATTTATGCATGCTGTCATTCCTTTCAATAATAAATGAAGGTAGAAATTGGGTACCACACCATTATTATGTTCTTCCTACTTGACAACACCTATTTTAGATTGGTTAAGAATTTCCTATTTTGGTTTGAATGAGTTCTTTGAACTCACTGATCATTATGCACCTTTTAAGGGGTTCGTTTTTTTTAAAGGTTGGTTATTAGCCTAACTTCCTTAATTTCAGGGGAGATGAAAAGTGACTCTAAACCAGTTGATTAAATTTATTTGAACCAATATTGTTGTTAAGAGGCTGGCAGCAGGGAGGTGTGTGTAATCCCCCCTTTCTCAGCCACTGAGGCAGGAAAGGTTAGCCTTAAATTATTTAATCACGTTTCCCACATCATTTAACTATTGACATTTTTAATTTGGAAGGTACTCAAGTTGGATACCCTGGTGGATAATTTATCTATTGATCCTTCCTCGGGGGACATCTTGGTAGGCTGTCATCCTAACGGCCAGAAGCTGTTCATTTATGATCCGAACAATCCTCCTTCCTCACAGGTTTTTAAGTTTTCATTTTTCAACCTTAATTATTCAAGTATTTTTGAACTACTAGTACAATAAACTGTCATGGGGATGGTTTATGTAGTCCTTTTCAACCAATAATACAGTAAACTAATGTAGTGGTTTTGTAATTGCTTTAAGCCAATAATTGGCAGACTTTCACATTGTTCAAATACTTTTAGAAAGGTAGTCTTTTGATGTATGAAATTACGGTGGCAGCTAGTCAAAAGGCATTTATATAAAGGCATGTGGGCCCCCTATGTGGTATCCTGGCAATTTTTAAATAACTGGCTTATTGTCAGCTCACCACATGACATGGCTTTTGTTGGAACTAAAGTTGTGTCAAAGTAGGCACACTAGTGTGGAAGTATTCCTATTAATGCTCAATTACTATAATAACACTAAATCCTGTGTTGGCAGGAAATAACTAGATAGTTTAAGAAAGTACTTTCCTTGAAGGTTTAAGAAAGTACTTTAATTTAAGCATTAAAAAAGGTTGGTAACTGCTATTTTTCAACAGCATGTTCTCTTAATCATTGTTTCATTGTGGGAGACAGGGATCATTGGTGATGGAGAGATGTGAATGTATGGTGGTTCTATAGTAATCCTTTGTCTCCCCTGAATAGGTTCTCCGCATCCAGAATATTCTCTCGGAGAAGCCTACAGTGACCATCGTTTATGCCAACAATGGGTCTGTTCTCCAGGGAAGTTCCGTGGCCTCTGTATACGATAGGAAGCTGCTCATAGGCACTTTGTACCACAGAGCCCTGTATTGTGAGCTCTAACGTGGACTTCGGGTATGCCAGTGTGCTCACTTCTCTTAACAATTCGTTTTCTATGAATGGCTCCTGCTGAGGGAATGTAACTAGTAAAGTTGAGCCAGGAAGTATGATGTGTATAGTTAATTTTATTTTAGGAAGGAAAGGCCCCTTAAGTCCTTGTTGCACTTTTAACATAAAGGAAAAAGAACAGGTTTGTTTTGTGTGTGTGTGTGTGTGTGTGTGTTTAATGCCAAGTAAAGGAAAGAGAAGAAAGCTGCTCTTGGTAAAGTGAATATACTTTGCACAAAATAAGGCTCCCCTCCTCCTTCCACCTGCCAGAGCACGGATTCCACTGAACCAGGGTAGATCCCATTTCCTTAACATGTGAGTGACCTCTGCTCTAACAGTGTGACCACTGTGACCATTCGGAACTACTGATAGGTAGCGTGTTTGGATGTTCTGTTTTTACATCTCTGTTTACTATTAAAGAGTTAGAGTTGTATTAAAGATTAACTAAAATCCTATCATCATTGGGTCTGTGTTTCATTCTCAAGGCAGGTCCTCGGGGACTATGGGAACGTGGCTGTTTCCTCGTGGAGTTTCTTTGGGACAAGCAGGCATGGCAGTGTTTGGCAATGTTGATTTCTCTCCTTTCTCATTGAAAGCTGAATGTCAAGGAGCTCTTTATTTGCATAAAATAAAACAATCAACTAAATAGGGCAACTCAAATTCTCTATCAGTAAGGAGTGTTCCATCAGCTCTCTTCCTACTTTACCTACAAAGAAGAGATCAATGTTGGGGCTGGAAGGCCAAGCAACCTCCTCATTGAACTCAACTGTGAACTTCATCAGGAGAGATTGAAGTCAGCTGTCCAGGGCCTAGGCTGAAAGCCAAGGGTGTGTGCCTCATGGCAGAGAGTTCTTTCCACTCACTGTACTTCCTAGAAACCCATCTTAAGCGTTTGAGAGAGACTTTCCATGGTAGCGTACCAAAAAGCACTTTACTGCACTTCTCATGGTTTTCCCCATCTTCAGCATCATTATCATCAAAATATTTGTTACCTGCCAAGTGCCAAATAATGCACTAGAAATGACCCATTCATTATCTCATTTAATCCTAAATACTGTTGTGGGGTCGAACCCTGGGTTCAAAATAAGACCACCAGAGGCTGATAATTAATTAAAAAGCAAGCAAAGATGTTTGAAATATCTGGCCAGGACAGCCGCGAGAGCATCACACGCAGGTGGTCTCCACACGACTGCACCGTTTCAGGGGTAGGAAGTCCCTTTTAAAGGTTCAAACCACAGGAATTTTCCTTTGTTCTAAATTCTAAAGACTACATTCTAAAGACTGGGGTCAGCCCAGCAGGGTCGTTGCTAATCACATCCTGCTGGACATTGGAATGTGGCTCTATCTTGCGATAGCCAATAACACAGAAGGAGAGCTCAGAGGTTATCTACAGTTTCTATCTCCGACGGTTACTGAGTTAGTAAGAATTACTCTCCTGTGGTCCTGGTCCTAGGCAAGGGAAAATTGCCTTAGCCTCCAAGTCTCCACCTGAAAGCTAAGGTAAATAGTCGTCATCGTGTCTCCCCCCCCCCCCCCCCGTGTTTAATCAGGTGCAAGAGCCAAACTAGAAGGGTTAAAATTCAAACAGTTTTTACCAAAGTATGGTTGCCACTATATTTCAAGTACAGCCCTGAGAGAGTAGGTACTGATGTTATATCACTGTTAACGTTTCACAGATGTTCAGTCACACACCCAGGAAGGGGTGGTCCTCTGTTTCTGATGCCAGAGGCTGGACCAGCTCCCACTTTCTAGAAAGCTATTGCCACAGAACTAACGAGTATCTTGTTGTTTACTCTTTTCTTTCATATATAGTTTCTTTCATTTTTTTTTTTTATATATTAGTTGGATTTCTGCTTTTAGATGCGTCATTTAATGGCTTTTTCATGTAAATTATAGACGTTTTCTTAAACCTGGCCTCTCTTCATTTGGCCTGTGTTTTTATTTAATTTTTAAGTACTCTGTTACTAAAGTGTCTTGGAACTATTTTTTGCTAAAAGAATTACTGTTTTTTTGCTGTTTCCATTATCCATGGGAAAATGTTAAGTCATAGATGAACAAAGCAAGATTAAATACTATTCACTAGGGAGCCAAAACCAAGAAGCATAAATTTTAATTTTAGATTATAACAATGACTATCTAAAAAGCTACTTTTGTTAAAAGTATCAGAATATAGTAGGTACAAAATAAACTGTTTATATTGTACTTACTGAAAATTTTATTTGGACAAAAGTAAATATAAGTTAATAAGCACATGTATTCCTTGTCTTAGAAATACAAAATAATTCTTAAATAAATTTTGGCCTCTGGGCCACGAAGGGTCCTATTAATATCATAAGTATATTGTGTGTTTATTTATGGTGCTCTTATGTGATCACATATTGAGTTTTCACAATTTGGTTGGTTATTAAGAGATCAAGTCAGTAAAAAAGACTGAAATTGCAATTGGGCTATGCCACCACCAGATGGACATAGGTCTTGAGCACGTGCCTGTGCCTGTGTGTGTGTGTGTGTGTGTGTGTCTGTGCGCTAATTCCTTTTCATCTGAGATCTGGTTGAGTGATAATAAATATCCTTTTGGTTTTTTTCACACTGCCTCCATTCTTCTACAACAGCTAAATGTAAACATGAATATCTCATACGGGGAACAAAGAAAATAAAATATAAGCTACATTACAGCATTTTTGGTCTCATTTTGTGTATTGCTTATGTAACTGGTTAATAATAAATAATCTAAGGCTGATCTTTTTTCTAGAGTTTGATTTGTTCAGTTTAATTATTTCTTGGAGTCACAACTTACATAGACGGGGGAATATGTACTTGGCAAAGCAGTGAAGAACTGATAGCACCCACCACTACACCACCCCCCGCACCTTTCTTTGGCTACTTGTACTTTTCATTACTCACGTGGATTTCCATGAAAGAATTTCCATGGGTGAGAGAAGGAGAATGGTTGGGAGGATCCCAGTAGCTCTCTTAGCTTTCTGCTCCTGGTTTCCAAGATTTTTATTCTATTAAAAAATAAGAGATACAGAGAAGAAGATAAAAGAGTCTAGTATAGTTTTTAACAACAAAAAATAACTTTTAGTTCACTTTAAAATTTTTAGTATACTAAATAGCTTCTCTGTAGCCATTCCTGAGTTAGGCATTAGGATACAATAGTGAACCAGACACTGCCTATATTCTAATGGGAGATTCAACAAATGAGAAAATAGATTTATTAGATTGAGTGATTAGAAGTAACAGCAAATGTGATTAGAGAACAATTTGGAGATACCAATTCCTCCCAACTTTTGAAAAGTTTAGAGCTGGGGAAAAAATGAAAAGCCAGTTCCATGACTGCCTGCATTCACTTTACCTACATCTACCAATCACCAGCCATCAGCTTGCAGCATTGCTGTGTCTTTTCAAGTATAGAGGGTTTTGTTTTTCTGAGCTATTTGAAAGCAAGTTGGAGATACCATAAAAAAGCATTTAATACAACTAACCTATCGAACATCATAGCTTAGCCTAGCCCCATGGTTGGCAAACTGCGGCTCAAGAGCCACATGCGGCTCTTTGACCCCTTGAGTGTGGCTCTTCCACAAAATACCATGGCCTGGGTGAGTGTATTTTGAAGAAGTGGAATTAGAAGAAGTTTAAGTTTAAAAAATTTGGCTCTCCAAAGAAGTTTCAATCATTGTTCTGTTAATAGTTGGCTCTGTGACTAATGAGTTTGCCACCACTAGCCTAGCTTATGTTAACCATGTGCAGAACACAATATCCGAAATACACTGTCAACACAGTATACTGTAGAACAGTGATTTTCAACCTTCTTTAAAAAAATCTCACGGCACACATAAACTAATTATTAAAAATCAGCACACTGAAAATTATCTATTTTTGCTGATCTGACCAAAAATGGGTATAATTTTGATCCAGTCCCATCATACAGCGATTGTGTTGGCTTCTGTCGTTTATTTTATTTGACAACCTAAGGTAGGGGTGTCGAACTCAATCAGAGAAGGGGCCAAAATCTAAAATCCAGCCTAAATCTCGGGCCGAATGGTTTACTGAACAGTCATAAACTGTCATTGTGATGGAAACGCAGCGGAGTGCAGTGATGACAGCGCGGTGCGGGCCACATTGCAAGGCCTGGCAGGACGGATTTGGCCCGCGGGCCTTGTGTTTGACACATGTGACCTAAGGGAAACAAGGTCAGTGCCCCTGACTAAATAGACAGGTATTGCATGTTTTAAAAATTATTGTGGCGCACTGGTTGAAAATGGCTGCTGTAGAATTGCAGCTGTTTACCCTGGTGGTCGAGTGTTGGACAGGGACCTGCAGCTCACTGCCACTGCCCAGCCTAGGACAGACTATGCTGCTGCGTGGCACTAGCCGGAAAAAGATCAACATTGCCAATTCCAAGCACAGTTTCTACCGAACGCGCATCACTTTCATACCTTCGTAAAGTCAAACAATCGTGAATCAAACTATTGTAACTCAAGGGCTGCCTGTACTGCAAAATTAATATCCTTGACGTCATCCTTGATTCTGTCTTTGTCCTTACCCATCAGAAGCTTGGCCTGATTCTATCTCCAACTGAGAGCTCAAAGCTATTCTCCTATCTCCACTGCCAGCCCCTCACTGAGCCCTCTATTAGTCCTTATTCAAAGTTTTCCAAGTGAGCACCTCTGCACTAGTATTTTCCCTCTCCAACCCATTCCTATCTACCCCATAGGTTAGCCACCTTTATCTTTCTTACTATCTCCAGGCCGGTAAATTCTGATCTCTCACTACTTCTTTCAGTTCCAGGTTGAGCGAATCCTGTTCTCTCAACACACTTTTACTCAGCTGAACTCACTAGAACTAGTATTTCTCTCCGTTTGAAAATAAAAACAGATAATGCCACAAGATGCTTCTTTGCTTTGCTCAGACTCCTCAGCCATCTCCACCCTCAGCCCCGCTCCCTCCAGCCTGGTGGTCTTCAGGAGAGGGGGGCATGCATTCTTCACCTGGCAGGAGCAGAAGTCCCAGAAGGAAGAAGGATCAAGGAGGCTTTTGTTACTAAACTTCCACCCAAAGCTATTCTCCTCCCTCCCACCCCCACTCTGCTCAACTTCCCCGTTACTTAAGTCTCTCCCCCCACCCCACTCTCCCCTATTGTTCATTGTCCCATCAACAATGGTGGCGGTGTGGGGTTTCTGATAGTTACAATCCACCCACTCAGCAAATGTCCTGGGAAGCAGGACTTGCGAAGGCCTTGTTCTGGGAATCCTGGAGAAGAGTGCGTTCAAGCCCCGCACTTCCATGCAGTTCTATGCATGTACCAGCTCTCCCACCTTCTTGAGACCCATTCTCCAGCTCAGCTCCCTTCTAGCCTTCCAGAAACCTGCCATCGGGGCTCTGGACGCATCCCCAGAGCTCCCTGCAGTTCCTTGGAGGAGCTGAGTTTGAATGACGCAGCTTTTGGCAGCAAACTCCCTCTCCACACCCACCGTGGGGCGTGTTCTTGGCAAAGCTTTCACCTGCGGCTCCGGCTCCCTCTGTACTTTGAGCCTTGAAGAAAAACAAAAAACAAAAACAGAAAAGAATCCCTGGTATTTCGCGCCCTGGAGCAAAAGGAAAAGAAAAAAAGGGAAGAAGAATCCTCTAGCCAGGATTTCTCCTTGAACTTCACACGTAAGGATGACCTTGAGTCTCTTGCGTAAAGACAGCCTGGGATTCCCGCACCCCCAAGGAAAAATAGCCTTACCTGGGAAGGCGGAACAAGAAGTGGCTGGAGACACCGCCCCGTAACCCTGCGTCCCGGCCTTGCACCTGCCAGGTGGGGCGCGAAGGGCGGGCGGGGCGGGGACCACGGGGCGGGTCTGGGAGCCCGCCCGCCCCGCCTCCTGGAGGCCCCTGCTGGGCCATCAGCACAGGGAACCTGGACTATGGGGAAGCTGGTGGTGCTGACCCTGCTCGGGGTGGGCCTGGCCCTGCTCGGGGAGAGGTTTGTGGCGCTCAGGTGAGTTGAGTCCTTGGCTGTGTCTCTCCTTCCAAGCTAAGTCAGGGCTGCCCGGTGCCGGCTTCTGAGCCAGGAGGAACGGACAGTTTGGGTGACCTCACTCCTCAGTGCCACCCAGCAAATGGATGTGGAAAGTGAGCCAAGTTCTTGCTTTTCCTGAGATATCAGGTCAGGAGTGTCCCTCATTTATTTTCTGAAAGTCACCGCCCTCTTTCCAAGTGGCTCTAGGCATTGGAGTAGTGAAGATCTAGGGGTTGGGGAGGAGCTGAGAGGAAGTGGGGAGGCGGGGAATATCTGTAATACTACCAACAATAAAAATACATTCAGAAAAAAATTAAAAAGAAATAACTCCGCTAAGGACTGGATTTGAGAGAAGGGACAGGCTACCAGGTGGGAGTTGGTGGCAGACATGGCCCAGGGCCTGTTAAACATTGAGGAGGGCTGGGCTGCTAAACTCATCCCATATTAAGAGCTATTCAGACAGGGGTGTGTGTGTGTGTGTGTGTGTAGGGGGGAGAGATGAGCTGAAATTTGTAGATGTTCACTGGCATTTCGCAGGTATCTGACTATATATATATATATATATATATATATATATATATATATATATATATTTTATTGATTTTTCACAGAGAGGAAGAGAGAGGGATAGAGAGTTAGAAACATCGATGAGAGAGAGTCATCGATCAGATGCCACCAAGGTACATGCCCTTGACCGGAATCGAACCCGGGACCTTTCAGTCCCCAGGCCGAAGCTCTATCCACTGAGCCAACCCGGTCCCAGCAGTATCTGACCTTTTGAAGTGGAAGATGCTAGTGGTGATAGAACTCTCTCAGAAAGAGTCAATACTGGGCGCGGAAGAAGAAATGTTGGGTGATACTACACATTTCCGAGCAGATCTGAATGCTCTGTTTGTCTTCAGTTGTCTTTGGGGAGCTTTTATTTATTTCTCTAAGTAGAAGCTGGGATGTCTTGAGGAGGCTGATGCCCTTTGGTAATACCTTCTAGTTCAGCTTGAGTATGTTCATTGTAACGCTACTCCCAGCGCACCGAGTGAGAGACTCCTAAAAACAAGTATTACTGTAAAGTAGATCTGAGGTGTATTTTTTAAAAAGTGACAGTAAGGTAAGTCTGTGTGTAGAGTCTTCCTGAATGCTGTTTAGTAAAAATTTAAACTTATCCCTGGTATTGAAAAGAAAGTTTCACCATAAAAACAAGAAAACTGTATTGAAAAATAATATGGCCAGTTGTTTAGATTTTGGTCATTTGGATAAGTTGCAAAGTAAGTCAGCATAAAAAAATTAAAATAACAACATTAAAGCAAAGGCTGCAGGTTTTAGTTAATTAGGGGAGGGTTGAATGTGGGGAAATCAGTTTGAGAGAGGAAGGTGGGTTAAAAGGCAAAGACATGGTGAATTAAGGACAGTGCAGATTTATAATAGACCCTGCTTTATCTAATTAAATAATACAACTTGTACATTTACATTAATGACACTATGCAGTTACGCATACTATTAAATATTATCCAAGTGTTGTCCATGTATAATTGCATTTTAGTCTTTCAACAATAATTGGATGAGGTTGACTGACATAGGCATATTACCCACATACTGTCCATGTTATGTAAAGAAATATAAATAGAGAATCCAAGATGGCTTCACAGGTAAACACCTAGCCGCAGCCGCACACAACAATTTCAATAAAATACAACTAAAATATAAAATGGACATTACCCAGAACTACAGGAAAGTCGACTGACTGGAAATTCTACAACGAGAAGCAAGGAGAAAAGCAGAAGGAAGAGCGGAGGAGCTGTAAAAGCCTAAGGTATGAAGACACAAGGCGCGCACGGAGAGGACAGAGCCGGAGAGGAGGGAGGCTGAGTGCCTGGCTGGCGTTCCCTAGCAGGAAGGAGATAAAAGCTCTGACTGTGCTGGACCCCATTCCGACTGCTCTGAACCCCAGTTCTAGACCAGACCCTAGGGACACAGGCTCAAACAGAGGGAGCTGGGCTGTAAAGCGGAAC